GCCAGTTATCATGCTTCTGGCCTACAAGAAGATAATTCTTCCCATATGTGAAAATCCATTTTTTAACAAAAAAGAGGTGTCGTATTCATAATATCAAGGCAATTAACATTAGGTTAGAGAGTAAGTTGACATTTACTACTATCTCTGAAGTATAATTTGGATGATTTTGAATACATAGACTGTGCTTTACATCCTTTCTGTTTACAGAGGCTACTCAGCACACATATTATGTTCACCAAAGTACCAACCAACAGTTTAATCACCCTCTTCTCTATAATGTTTCACAAGAGCTTAAGTAAGATTTAAGTGACAATTCAATGTAGTTTAATGCAGAGCCCCAATTAATTCCACATCATGTGAAAACCCTGATAAATCTTGGACAGTTCTCATCTATCTTAACAATAAGCGCTTCTGAGAAAATACAAGTCTGAATATTTAATATGAACAATATGTTTAATTTTGTCACATAACAGAAAATACGATCACAAATATGTTCATATTTATGATGGAATAGTCACTACTTTCCCTATATCCCTTTCAAGTTACATTGGAAGGATTAACTATTAATATGGAACAATTTTTAAAAACTGATATTTCGCATCTTGCTGTAGGTCTATTGTACAGGTTGGACGATTATAGTAGGATGAACAATAAGAAACTAACAGTTTATGAGGACCATAATAGTTATGTGGGCATTTGACTGAAGTTGGGCCCTTAGAGAAAAGGCATGACTCCCTACTTTAACTTACATTTTAAACACTAGGTCTCAGCAATCTCTTAATAATCTGTAGTAAGGACTTTTGAAAATTAAGAATTTTAGCTTAAATAGGTCCTGAGACATAGTAAGACAATAAAATTGGAAACTCATAGCTACAAATGAATTTTAGCTAATGCACTTACAAGGAACTCTTGGTCATATGTTAATGACACAGATGTCTTCAGCCACTTTTAATTATTTCTTGGTAGTCAAGCTAATACCAATTAAATATTTTATTATAAATATACTACACTGAAAACATTCACAGAGGTCTAAATCTGAATCAAGGAGAAATAAGTATCAAATGCATAAAATCTGTTTGATTTATATTTTGCTCTCAAAGAAAACTGCTTATAATGCCCCAAATGGATGACCAACTACATCTGAATTAATGTGTGTATTCATTTTAACAAATTTCTTTAAATTCTCTAAGTATTAAATCTCACAATGAAAAGCTTGACTCTTTAGAAACACATATGCCTGTAATTGAATAGCAGGAGTCCTTAATTAAACAATGTGCTTTAAGATAGAAATTGTAAATAGAAGTCTAATCTGGTAAAATGATAAATGGTTTATTAAAGCGGACGATGTTAAATTTTTAAATGTGATTTATTTGTTCAAATATATGCTTAATGTATATGTGTGGGGAGGTGATATTAAGAAATGTCACCTAATAGATTGTCAGAGTCAATATGAGCCATATATTTATCTCTTGGTTTGATAGTTCATGTGTTTATTCTGACAAGAGTAAAAGGAAGGATTTAGAACAAAAGCCCAATTAAAATTTTTTAATAACTAGGCATGTAGTCACTAAAACGTCAAAGCAGGATCTGTTAGATCTTATTAATTTATATCTACGTTCCTATTACTAAAAGAGACACAAACCCAAGAAGGTGATGTAGTAAAAGTTAGTCAAAATTTGTTGTTTATTGCAAGAGGTGCCACTTGAGCATAAGATGCCTAAAAGGCAAATTAAAGAACAAAACTATAATAACTGTTCATTTTCTTAAAGCACAATGAACACATCAGAGACATGCAGTGTTGTTATTTATTGCACATGGTGAAACTGTGTTAATACTTCATTCTCAGTCACTTACTTTTCTCGTTATTCAGAAACACCAATGTTCTCTTTATTTGCCTAACCAAAAAGAATAAAAATTCTCACTTGCTTGTTCTCTCACCCTCTTCCTAAAATGCCAAAGTTTTAAAAAGCTGAACAATCTCTATTACATGGAAATGTTCCTGTTACGACTACTGCTTTTAAAAATCAAGTTGGAAAAATGGAAACATTGTATTTCACTCTGACAAAACCTGAAATTAATACACATTAAGTTAGAAAGTTAAATGTGTCTCAAAATTCTTATCAGTAAGAAATCAGAACATATCTCAAACAATATCAGAATTTCACCTTCAGTAGTCTTTGCTATTTTTAAATACAAAAAAAAAAAATTGGAAAGAGTATCAGGTGATTTGTAAGTAACATTTTTTAAAGCAAAATTGCCTTGAACATGACCCTGAACAATACTCAACTGTTTTAAGAGGTGACTACCAAATCATCATAAAAGCAATATTGCAGTCCATGGGTTCCTACTAGTTCCCTGTACCAGGAGGCACGGCATTTCCAAGTACTTTGGCAAATGCACATATACAAGTAGTATCATGCCTCTCATGTATTTGAAGCAGTAAGGACACTTATAAATTATTTAAGGTAAGTGATTCAGTTTGCAGATCAATTTATAGCCCCCAAATATTTTAAGCTGATACTCCTGTTCTTTTATTAAAAGAGAACTTTTCACTTCTTAAAAACCACACAGAAGTATTCACCCACAAATGATGTCATATCCCAGTTTACTTTAAAGTAGGAAGGTTGAGAGATGCCATCCATCTGAGCCTCTAAACTCATCTCTTCGATTCTACAGCAACTATTAAAGAACATCAGTCAAGCTAAAGACTTGCAGAGAGGGGCAAATTCAAGCAGTGATGAGCTAAAAAGTCACAGAGGACTCATGTTTCAATATCCCTTCTACTAGTCCTCTATACCCATTCATAAAAGACTAAATGAAGCAGGGAAAAAAGGGAAGCAGAATTCAACTTCTTGTAAATATAGGCCCATAGCATAGCTGGGTGACTTCAAAGCCTATAATTAATGCATGCTAATCAATCAAGTTTTTATTAAGCATTTACTAATTTTCTCACATTGTGCTAGGGTCTACAGATCTGAGACATACTCGGTTCCATTCTGGACTCTGGGATACAGAATTAATGTACACCAGCAGTGCTGTATTGCCTTTGAAAAAGCTTTCTTTTCTTCCTCCCAAACCTGATCTGAGACACAGTGCCTCTTAAGCCCTGAAATGAACATCACAGAAATGGTGAATTAAAAGCATTTATTTAAACAAGCAGGAGCAGCCAGAGAATATTCTCAGTGGAGTTGAAGGTGGGCAGGGGCATCAGACAGAGATGTGAAATCCTGATTTGTGGCAAACAATGTGGAGAGACGCATATTTCTTACGTTCGAAGCCAGTCTTTGCCTATGAAAATTTTCCAAATCTATCCATCTCTGAAATCACTCAAACAGGCTTTCAATATTAAGGTTCTGATTTTGCAGGAGAGGAGGAGTTTGTAGAGATCAGGGGAAAGGAAAGATCAGTAACGCATGCAAAAGTCAAGAAGAAGAAAGGAAAGGATGGGTAAAAGCACAGAAAATTATCTGGAAAGGTAAGAGGTCCAAACTAAGTCACTAAAAGGATGATCTTACTTTTCAATATTCTCAAACCATCAGGTTTCTTTAACACTAGAGGGCATGAACACACACACACACACACACACACACACACACACACAAATACACACGAGGGGGTAGCACCCTTGAGCAAAGGCAGCCTTCATATAAAGCTAAAGATCTGGGGGGCCCAAGGAAACACGGAATTTCAAGGGGCTGAGGTAGCCAGTCTCTAGCGCTGGGAAGAGTGATCGCGATCTTCCCCAAGGAAACCGCTCAAGGATTGAACGCTATGGCAGTTTAAAGCACACAGTACCCTCTCCTCCGCTAGTAACACCTTTGCCTCACGAAATCTCTCACCCTTTCGAGATTAGTTTTCCCTGGATCTCTTAGCTTCTGTGTTTGTCTGCCCACTGTCTCTTCTGTGGCTCCTAGTAAAGGCTGGAGATGTAGACTCTCCACCTGGAAATTCAACTGATCGTAGCCAAGGAACGTGATAAGGGGAGGGGCACCCGCAGCTTTCGCAGTCCAAACCAGCAGCCGCCTGCGCTCGGGTTAGCAGAAGCGCAGAGCCTTCGGACCCCGGGAGGGGAAGCTGGCCCTCGCGCCCCACATTCAGCCCCTCGACCCCACAGCCCAGACAAGGGCAAGCTGCATCCATCCCTGCGTCCCCTCTGGCTCCCAGCAGAAAGGTCTCTGTACCTGGATGTGTACAGAAGATGGGCCAGGGCGTGCTCCCCCGGCCAGGGCGCCTCGGGATCTGGGAGCTGGTGTTCGGGAGAACGAGGCAGGAGAGATGAAAGAGAGAGATCGAAATAGGCAGCGAAAGGCAGAAATAGGGAAAATACTGCAAGACCAGCGGAAGGGACAGAGTATAACAGGGACACAGAGGCATCCCAAGAAAGGGAGAAAGAATGAAAGAGAAACAGAAACACACAGAAGGGTTGGGGAGACAGAGAAAGAAACTGAGTCAGAGACAGAAAGACATACAAAGAGAGTGAGGCAGAGGAGCACTCAGAGTCAAACGGAGGCAGAAAGAGGAAGGCAACCGTCGAGGAAGACATCCAAGACCCAAAACGTCCCCAGTGTCGGGCCGTGCAGAAGCGCCCGCGCACGGTAGCCCCCGGTGGCCCGCGGTTGGTGGGAGAAAGTTGCCGGGGTGGAAAGGCCGAGCCGCCCCACCGCCGAGCGTCACCGAGGCACTGAGGGTGGCCAGCGCCCCCAGGTCGGCGGCGTAGCGGAGAATGCAGGGTAGAGGGCGGGCGGCGGCACAAAGTTCCGCGCCTCGCGGTCCTCTCTCCGTACCTGCAGCGGCAGGCGAGCGCGCTCCGAGCTCCCGGGAGGCCCCTCACCCGATCCGCCAGAGCTCCTGCCCCGGGACTGGTTCGGGGTACTGAGCTCTGCGCTCAGTCACGCGCTGCAGGACTTTGCGGTGCCCACCCGGCACTCTGGCCGCCCAGTGGGGACTCGCTCCAGACAATTACAAAGAAGACAGGGGGAGCAATAGAGAGAGACGGAGACCTGCTGTCGTGGCCCAGGATCCCGCGAAGAGGGAACGGCGGTCCACGCACGGAATCCAGCCTCCGACCCAGCCGGGCAGACTCTGGCCCGCCTCTCCGACAGCCGGGCGCGCCGAGCCCGCGCTCACCTGGAACCCGCGCTGGCCCGCGAGCGCCGCACTCAGCCCAGCTCCCGCCCTCGCCTCTCTCTTCACACTTCCCCAGGAGAG